GTACTACTATTTCATTATTCTTTGCACTTGTATTTTTATTTACTTGTCCTAATATAATCTTAACTCTGTTAATTCTTTCTATTATTACTACTCTTTCTATTACTTTCTTCTACTCTCTGGCTACTGTAACTATATTACTTTTTACCTCTAATATTTCTACTATTATTCTATCTATATAGTCTTCTAAACCTATTACTAATTTGTTACCTTCTGTTATTATCTCTTTACTATACTTCTTAGTTACTATTTTAACTAATATATCTAGTTTTAGTTATATGTACTTAGTTTCTAGTTTTGCTATATGATACATAAAGTTACTTTATAATATATTTGTTTGTTTATATATTTTTATATATTTGTATTATATGAAGTAATCTGCAGTTCAGAGTATATACTAATTCTCACTTTTTGTTAACAAAAGTTTTTTGTATTTATTTTATATCAAATTTTCTTCTAGAGCTTCTATTTTTTTTCTATTTTCTTTTCTTTTATCTTTTTTATATATATTTCTTTAGTTTCTTTTCTTTTTCTTAAAGACTTTAGTACTGTTTCCTAGTGAAAGTTTTGTATTTTTTGGATTTTTTCTTCTACTTCAAAAATAGTTAGAATAATCAATAGAGAGAGTTATAGATCTTAATACAAATTAGTAGCTTTAGATATATATTAGTGTTAAAAGTTAGAAACTTTAAATTTTTTGTTAAGAATTTTTGAAAGAATAGCTTTAGAAATATTCATTTGTATTTTGTGCTAGCTATTTTCTAATAATTCTGTTTGAATTGAGCTTGCTAATATTTCATTTTAGTTCAGATTATATGAGACAGAGTTTATAAATTCTTCTTAAAGTTCAAAGTTCATAAATTTATAATTAAATATTCTATATCAAATATTATTTTTATATCTGATTCTATTTTAAAAAACAAAAAGAAAAGACTATAAAGAAATAAGAATTTAGTAGTTACTATTATATATAGTTTCAAGATTTATAAGTATAAAGTTTAGAAAGTATAGTATAGTAGAATAGTATATTTATATATAATTTATTCAGCTACTGAAATGATTATTTTACTATATACAAGAATCTCTACAGAAAAAGAGGTATTAGGCTATTTTAAATTGTAGTCTTTAAATGAGTATATTTTGTGATCTAATAATTAGAATTAAATATTTTTTATATCATTTAATTTATCTTATTAAGGTAAATTGAATAATATAAAAAATATTTAATTCTAATTATTAGATCACAAGATATACTTATTTAAAGACTAAAATTTAAAATAGCTCAATATTTTTTTTTGCTATAGAAGTTTCTATATATTGATTTGTTAAGGTATAGTTAGCTAAATTATATATGTTTTAGCTTTATATATAAAAAAGTAGATTGGTTTTAGCAGAATAAGAAGCTTAGTATTCTGTATTTGAATTAAAATCTTCTAAAATAATAAGAAATAAGTTAGTAAATAAAATATTTTAGATCTAGTAAATAACTTTGTTTTGTATTATTTGTCTAGTTAGTAGATTTGTACTAGATAGATAAATTGATATAATACAAAATTTAAAGTTGTTTTTAAAAAAAAATTAATAGTGATAGCTCCTTTTAAATATATATGAATATTGTATATATATAGTCTAATTGTATTATTAACTATAATACAAATATTTTTTATAGAAATCTTAGAGTTAGCTTAAAAATATAGAAAGTTTTTTGTATTAAAAAAATAGAGTAAGGTATGTTGAGCTAATATTTTGATTTTAGTAAAGCTTATAATATGTAAATTATATGTGAGATAATACTTTTTATATAATTTCTTTTCAGTAGTTAGTTGTATCTTTTTATATTATATATTGTAATATTAAATAGTAAAAAGTTGTTTAGTATTTGTAATTTAATTAGTAAGTTAAAAAATTTTAAATAATTAGTAGATAGAATATAGTATAGTATAGTAATAAGAAGTCAAAAATATTGATATAAATATAAGTTTCTTTAATACAGAATTATATAAATTTTTTAAAAAAAGTTTGTAATTAGGTTTAGTTAAATATTAAATAAATATTCTAAGAGTTTAATTTGAGTTAAAAATAGAATAGTTATATTTGAATAAGAATTAATTATAACAAATAACTTTGTATATAATAAAAAAGTAATTACTAAAGTTATATTTTTTTTTCTTTTAGCAGTCATACTAATACTTTATTAGACTTTTTAAACTATACATTTTCGAAGATTTAACCTAATTTCCTAAGTTTAGCATTACTTGGTTCTCATATAGGGCCTAAGTATGACCTGCTACACTATCTACATCAGAGATAGACTGCCTTGTCTGAATGCTGCCCTACAATAGAATACTGCTAATCTGATGATATCTTCTTGTAAGGAAGAAAAAAATAAAAAAAATTTTTAAGAACATAAAAAAAAGAAGTATAAGGGTAGACAATAAAAGATACAAATCAAGAAATAAAAGAGAGAAGGGAAAAAGAGAAAAAAAAAAAATATGAAATTTGCATTCCACAAATACTAGATGATTATATTTTAAGCCTGTAATAGGCCTTAAAAATTATAGACTATATTAAATAAGAATTACTCTACTATTTTCTTATTTAATAGAATATTTATCAAAAAACTATGTAGGAAAAAAAAAACTTTGACTTTGCATTTACATTGTGTAATCGTGGATGTACGTACATGTTGATGGGTAGACTTGATGAATAACTTACAGATTTCAATAAATCATTAAAAATCATTCCATATAATACATTTGCTTTATTCTGTCGCGAATATGCTTATCTATGATGGGTAAATTTGATGAATCACTTGTCGATTTCGGAAATCAAGCAAGATTTTGACATAAATAATTCACAGTGATAGTAAATGACCCAAATGACTCAAATGACAAATGACTATTCATTGGTCATTTCAAAACACAAATGACTTAAGAAGGTCATTTAACTGATAATCTAATGCCGTTTAGTCAATCAAAATTGATTATCCGGTATCCTACTATGATAGGGCTTGCCAAATAACTTTCGTATCTGGCAGTGAAACTTAATATGCCGTCCTCTGGACCCCGAAGGGGTCCAGAGTAGGCATATTAAGTTAAACAGCCATATACTCGAATTATTTTTTCTGCATAATGATTAACACGTGATCCTTCGGATCACATGTTAATCATTATGAAAAAATAATTCTCGTTATTGGATGTTTCACATCCAATAACTCTATATTATTAGACAAAATTAATTATCATTATAAAGAGTGTTGCTAATTTTCACCCTAGGTGATGTCACCTCTTTATCGCAGGAATTGTGTAACAAAAATAAAAAAAATCGTAAGTAAAAGTTTTCAGCACGTAATTTTGCATATATCAGATATGCAACCTTTTAACCCTAACCCTAACCTCCAAAAGTTTATTTTATTTATTTATTTTAACAATTTATAATACGGGTGATGTCACCTAGGGTGAAAATTAGTTAAACCCATAAAGAAAATTGAGTTTATTTATCTCTTAGGCCGTTTGAATTTAAAACTTTGTTTAACGTTATTTAACCCTAAATACTACAAATATAGAAACTAAAGCGAGCCTGCTTTAAGATTAATTTCGGCCAGCTTTAGATTGGTGTAACATACGTAACAGTTAAGTAAGTTTGGTAACTTATGCAAGAATGAAAAATTATTAGGACAATTTTTATCAGGTGTCCCAGCTTCAGAAATTCGGTCGTAAAATAGAGTATATGATCGATCTATTACAGGTAGTCAATAATTATGCACTATAACAATTATTACAATAGTTCTGCATGTAATAAGTTAGTTTATGTCTATCTATCTCGTTTCTGATGTTTTTATATTTGTATACTACCTACTACAGTACTATCATAACACGTAATCGTCTCCTATCATAGAATAAAATGAACAATTTTAAAATTTTAGACCATACCAATTGTGGATAAAAACAAGCATTTATACGTACTAAAATTCATATTTTTTTTTATACTAATTATAGGAATATTGACGGTATAATTATGGCTAAAAAAAAAATTATTTATAAAAAAAAATGCAAGTAAATTATAGTTTAAGCATTCCCAAACCTCGCTCGATACCGGATTTAAAAAAAAATAAAATTCCCGAACTATTTATCATCATTTATAATAATATTCGCATGGCTTGTATCATCATCAATTACCTTTATTGGCCTAGGTTTACCTAAAAAAGAAAGACAAAAATTATAAATCAACACTAACGCTAAAGGACGATTAATATAAGAAAATGCAGTGCATAATGCTGATATTTACACATAAACATAACATTAAGATTTCAGTACTCCCAAATCGTGTTTAACAACAGGGAGTGATAAATTAAATTAAGTGCTTAAAAATTCCTTATTATCCGATTTTGGTGTAAAATATAACAAAGGGAACCAATATTTAATCGTAATTATTAAGAATAATGACGGATGTTTCTTTAAAATTATATAACTAAATTTTTGTATTCATATACACAGCAATTATTTGACAGACAACTTTACTATTGCTATTCTTGGTAATGTTTCATTATCACAACCTTTTTCACAGTAATATTTACACACGTACACTGATCAGCTTATCACACGCATATAATATAAATAATAAACAAATTTGAACCATCATTAATTTACATAATACTCACCTCCTTCCCGACACTAATTTCCTTTCCAAACTATCCGATTTTTTTTTTTTTTTTTTTTTTTTTTTTTTTTTTTTTTTTATACCTATATATTCCATTCCTTCCTTTATTTCAAACAGGGGTTGCTTCACCGCATAATTGCACCCGAATCCGCTTAATCAAGTCATTCCTGCTCGTTCAAATTTTCATTAACTCTTAATTTTAAAACTTTATCTATCATACTTCTCGAGATTCAATAATTTATATTTAATCTAATATTTAGTGAGAAAAAAAAAAAAAAAAATATTTTCATGTAATCCAGTATAAGAATAATTTTTTTTTTATATAAATTTACATTGAACAATCCATGTCACTACAAGTTCTTCTTCATATCATTAATTTAAAATGTTTATACATAATATCTATTTCATTATTACTAATTCAATTATCTTTTTCATATCCAAATCAAGTTTCTAACGTTGATCCACGTTGGGGTCATACAGCTACTCTTATAAATGATACTATATACTTTGTAGGTGGAAGAACAAATGATAATGTTTTTACCTCGGATTTTATTAGTCTTAAAATATCCAACGAATTTTCAATAAATTTACCCCCTTGGATGGAACTTGATTCTACAGGAATGCCAAGATTAATTGGTCATACAGCTGTAGCTGGTGGTTTAAATAATACTAAAATTGTAGTTTTTGGTGGTGGTGTAGATGATCCAGCTTCAGCTGCTATGCAAAGTTTAACAATTTATGATCCAACAACTATTTTATGGACTCGACCAACAAATTTAATGAATTCGGATTCTAAAAGAAGATATTTACATTCAGCTGTCATATTATCAAATCATCAAATGTTAATGTATGGAGGACAAACGGATTCCCTAACTGGAAGTCAAACTATTTCTATATTGGCTGAATTATGGGGATTAGATACGATTTCATTATACGCATGGCAAGGATTTCCATCTTTAAATGGTTCTCCTAATTCAAGAGAACGTCATACTGCTAGTGTTATTGGGAATAAGATGATTATTTTAGGTGGTAGTGATGGTAAAACACTTGTCCCTATGAGTGAAATGTATGTGTTTGATTCTAATGTTGTTAATTGGACTTTAATAATTGCTACCGGTCAAGTTCCTACATCAAGAATTGATCATTCAGCTGTTGGTATGTATTTATAATATTAACAACTTATCAGATTAAATAATGATAAGAGTTGTGATTTAATAATAATTTTTTTTTTTTTAATTTTGGTCTATCAATTATTTCATCACTTATTAATAATTAATTCAAATTATTAATAACACATGTTAGTTTTAAGGAATTATATTATAATTTATGGTGGAGCTAGTGCAGATAATACTACAACGTATGGTGATATTGCTATTCTTGATACTGATACATGGAAATGGAGTGCACCTCCTACCATTAACCCACCTCCAAGTCGAACATTCCATACAGCAACAATAGTTGGCGCAAATATGATTATCGCATTTGGTATGATTTCGATAATAGAATTCAGTTTTAGAATCTAGTTTTAATAATATTATTTAAATTTTTTTTTTAGTGTACACTTAATTTATTATCCTTAAAAAAAAATTTTTTATTTTTTATTTTTTTTAAAACACGTCTAGGAAGAATTGGATCAGGTTCTGGAATAATCGATGATAAAATATATTGTTTAAACTTATTAAATTGGACATGGGTAGATAAATATATACCGCAATCTTTTCCACCTGACAAAAATTTAACACTACCAACTTCTACATCTAACCCAACAACCCCTAATCCCACTTCCACTTCTACAATTACACCGACTGATAACTCTCAATTTATAAGTATACCTAAAGGATTAGCTATAGGAATATTAACTATAATATCATTAATTGGTGCAGTAATAATAGCATTTATAATATTTTATATTAATCGTCAACGTAAAATATCAGATGGTTCAATATTAGTAGGAATTCCATATTCGAGAACTTCTGTACCACCAAGTAACAATGTTACAACACCAACTCAATCAACACGAATTAGATCAGCAAGATATAGTTTTTTACCATCATTTTTTCGTCAGAATGATGGTGAAGGTTTAAATCAAATTGATATTGATGAAAATATAACACCACAAAATTCTATATTTGCTCAAACTTTACTTAGAAAGACTAGTAATAATAATGTTGGATCTGTTGAACCTGAAAATGATGGACGACGTAATGTTAGATTTAATGACAATAATATAACTATAACTCCTGTTGTTTACACTAAAGGACATCATACTCAAGAAAGTGTAGAAATTGAACTTGGTAACACTAATGAATTTACTGGAAACGGTTCTAGAGTTAGTGATATAATAACGCAAACTGATACAGGATCAGAAGGTAGTAGGACTAAGCGATTAAGTTCTCGACAATCAAGTTCGTTAAGGTATGGAATTCATATTGAGGATGAAGATAATGATGATGATAATAATAATATAGCAAGAGAAAGTTTTGATAGTAATGATATTGTGAATATTGGTAGTGGTTTGGATGTCCAGAGGCAAAGTGCCGATGGTGCATCAATGGTAGTATTAAGGAATCAACTAAGAATTACTAATCCGGATATTGATCAAGAAGATAATAATTAAATTCTTAATTTGATGTATTTTTTGATGAATTCCTTTAAAAAGAAGTGAAGGAGAAAGAGGTGCATAATTAACATTTCACTGTATTTATAAACATATCTTTAAAAAAACAATAGAATTGTTAGAAAACTTTTTTTTAATTTATTACTGACCACTTTATAATTGTAATAAATTATCTTGTATATTATTTTTTTATAAGGTCTATAGGGTTATAACTTTTTTATTTTAATGTAATTTTTTTTAAAATCAATTTCTTTTTCGCTTAAGATGTTAATATTTATACTCTAAAAAAAATTTTCGTTTTTTTTTTTATTAATAATAAAAACTAAAAATCAGACGATAGACATACAATTAATATTTTGGTTTACTTTACAATGTCATATACAAATGTTTAAAAATGTTTACAAATGTAACGCGAGCAATAAAAGTGAATATTTTATTATTGTAACTTCTCAATAAGTATTTCTTTTTTTTTTTAAAAAAAAAAAAAAAAGAAAGGCTTTAGTCATAATTTCGTAACTGCAGTTAAGTTACAGCTTTTGTCAAGTTACGTTTTAAACTCAAAAATATAATTCTATAATACTAATTGTATATAATTTCTCTTTTTCTTGCTCAATATTTTTAAGTTATCGTTCGGCAGTTATTACTATCATATATATTTGAATATATTTAATAGTTTGTTTTCTTTAAGTTGATTTTTATATGTATAATGTTTTTAGTATTATTAGAAAAAAAAATCGGTACAAATATCAAAAAATTTATTCTATAAATCGGTTTTTCCTTACCATAACTGATAATGTGAAAGTTACTCGAATATATCAGGGTTAATTTTTAGTTTAAAATTCAGATACGTAACTGAGTTTTGGGATGATGGGGCATTGATCTGTTACGTATGTGGCATAAATACGTATTCAATAGATTTAACTTTAACTATTTTAATATTTCATAGTAAATAAATATGAAAATTTATTGATTAATGGTATATTTTAAATAAAAATTCTTTTTACTTTGTGTATCATAAAATTTTCTTGTCCAGTCGATTCCAAAACATTGTCTATTCTAAAAATAAATACATTTTAAAATAATAATAAAATGTCTAAATCGCATAAACATGAAAAGTAAAAGTTATGAAGTATGTTCACAAATCTAATATTTGATTGATAAGCATCAGAAATATTTCTTTTATCTCGTGATAATATAAAAACTGATGATGAAAAAAATGATAAATAACTGTGTTATATAACTAATAAAGATGGTGATCTTTTTGTAACATAACTGATGAAAAAATAAAAGATCTGATATTAATGGAAGGCATAAAACTGACGAATGATGATATATTATTAAAAGGTGGGTCTTGTAGATTTTGTCAACAACCATTTCGCGAACTCCTAACTCTTAGCCAACATTAATACCAACCTCAGAAAATAAGTTTATATCAAATTCTTATAAACAAATTTAACGGATTTATATACTCACAAATATGGGTTACTGAATTTAAATATACTTGTACAAAGAAAATTGTTAACGATAATGTCTTTGCATTGCGATCAGTTATTAGCCTTCGTCAGTTATGTAAATTTTTTATGGTATAAATCTAATTCTTGAACAGACAATCATTTCTCTAACGAAGTTGACCTAGTTTAGAATTAGTGTTTACTGACTTATAATAGTGTTGGCTAAGAGTTAAATGTTAACAAAATGGTTATCGACAAAATCTATAACATCTGTGATATACAATATTTTTCCGTTCCTGATTTTAGCGCGACAATGTCACACAGCTATCTATAAAAAGAAAATGTTACAAATTCTAGGATGCTAATTGGTCCTTTGGGATCTAATTCTGACGGTTCCATATCACTTCGCTTACACTCGTTTTGTAGACACAACACTTCACCTACAATAAATTCACCCAACAGGCTTGTTTCGCAGACAACCAATTCCTAGACAAGCTCAATTCATTTTGCAGATAGTTCATTTCACAGACAAATCTATTCCTTATGAATTTTTCTAATCTAAATCAAAACTCTAACTCTAATTTTAATGACAATTTGTCTAGCTAGACCACTTACATTTAAATCCAAATTAGTTAATGTTGCTAGCACTTTTCCTGTTAATTCACCTAAATTATTACAGCTTAATTTAAAGTGATATTTTTGCGACTAGAGATTTCTCTGCTGATTCTTCAATTTATTCATACTTAAATTAGTTAGGGTAGTATTTTTACATAGAACATCGGCTAATGCTTTTTCCTGCCGATTCACCCAGTTTATTATTATACAGTATTATTTAAAGTAATAGTTTTACATAAAGCTTCGGTTAGTGATTTCTCTATTGATTCACGCAGTTCGTTGTTACTTAAATCTAAATTAGTTAAAATAGTATTTTGTCATAGAACATCTGATTGACTTATAAAATGAGAATTAAAATAATCAGAACTTAAATCTAAATAGTTAAACATCAGCTAGTGCTTTTCCCGATTCAGAACATAAAAGATCATATTTTAAATTTAAATGTTATAAGGGTATTACTGTATTCTTAGTGCTATTGACACTATAGTGCAGTACTATATGATTGGCGCACTTAAGATTTTTAAAAGTTTGTACGTACATTTTTTTTTTAATTTATTTTATTAATTTAACTAAAATTGTAAATTAATAAATTTGAATAGCGATAGTAAAAGTTAAAAATTTTTTTTCAATACAGTTTATGTACAGTAAATTGATCAAAAATCTTGCTTAGCGTTAATCATATAGTTACACTATGTTTGTATATCATATGGTGTGGAACACCCCATAGTGTTATTCCTACTTCATCGCCCAAATAATTACATTCTAAATTTTAGTTAGCGTGATATAAGGTAGGATTTGCGTGTAAAGATTTAGCTAGAGCTTTTTATTACGGTAGATTTCGGTACCCTTGGCCAATCGGAATAATTATTAGAGTTTTGGGGTATTTCTTGTTCAATTGGTTGAAGTGAATGAAATGAAATTGTATATAAATGAGTGAAACCAGGAATTCTAAAAATGGATTTTATTAACGATAATCTATTTTTATAATTCTTGGCACTCAAATATTGATTCTTATTAAATGATAATATATAATTTAATAATTATTGTAAATACAGAATGAGTTTAAATAATTTTCTTCGTTTTATTTCATCAAATAAATATAATACCATAAAATAAGTTAAAAAATTAATAAAATAATTAACTACTAAATTTAAACTTACTATAGGCTTCTTTATATGATAAAAATTCAATAGTATGTTTTTTTAAAGTTGGTGAGCTAATATTTGAATTTAGAATATTTGTGCTCTTAACGAGATCACTACTGTGGGGCTGAAAGGACTGCTCAACAATTCGGAAAATAGCGTAACCAACGATGGGTAACCTTACGTAAGAGGTGTGTTAGATTTGGCTGGTGGATAATTAGGTCTGCTCATGAAGGTTGGTCACGTGGGCAAGAACGACTATTTTATAAATTGAGTTTACAATTGTATATTATAGTGACAGTATAAATTTAATAATTTGAGCAAATACTTTAATAAATTCTTTATTTTTGTGAAGCAAACGAGACTTAAATTTCTCGGGGCGATAGTGCCCTTTATTTATAATAAAGTTTACTTATTTTAATCAATAAATCCCGCTTATACATTTTATCTAATTTCATTAATAAAGCTAAAATATAAAATAAACTCTTAAAAAACCAATAATTCACATTTTAGTGTTATACTCCTATCAACTATAATTAATAAATTGGTTTTCGAGTTTTACTAATTTTATCTCCTGCAACTCTAGATAAGACATCAACATAACTGCGTCAACGTGAGTTGGCGCAGCTTATGCAGGTTACACATTTCGGACTTATTTTAGGTTTCAAATTGTAAATACGCAAAACAAAAAGTTGTGTATTAATATTAACTTACATAATGTTAAATGAATAAGAACCGCCAAAAGGCTTTATGGAACCTAAAATTAAACTTTGAAATAAATGTGAAGGCATTGAATATATGTAGGATTTAACTAAAGCTGCAGAATTAACATTTACTATGACGTATTGACGTATTTAATATGACGTATTTAATATGATGTATTAAATTATATATAAATTTTATATGACGTAAAGGGTGACGTATAAAAATAACTACTTTTGACCCTCTAAATGTTTGCAACTATAGATTTAACACTAGTTATTGAATGAGGATGCAGAGATTCCAATTTTTATCGTTCATTTTCAGCTTCTAAAAAAAAATTTATCAAATTTCCAATAAAAAAAATACTTCATAATATTTTTATTAATAGATGTCCTCATTAGAGGATTTGAATGCCAACATTTTTGCATTAAAATAGCCCAACACTTTGATGTATTCTCAGTAACAATATTTGAGCATAATCCATCAAATATATTAAGCATAAAGCTTGCATTATATACCCGATCGTAGAAGGGATTATATCCAGTTGTAAGTTACCACATAATCATTCCTAAACTATTGATATCTGAACCAAACGAACATTGTTTTTTTTTTTTATTGAATATCTCAGGTGCTATATATGGCATAATTCCATAATTTTAGATTGTTCCGGATCTTCTTTTGCTAGTCAAATAAATCCTAAATCTGCAATTAACTGTTAATGAGCTACAGTTAAAATTTCCATAATTTGTGAGTTAACCTATTTATATTTCTATCGTGTATATCATTTCATTTCATAAATTCATTTAATGCCTGTATCTATATCTCTAAGATTGATTCCAATATAAAATTTTAAATTCTCCCAAATATTTACTTAAACTTTCATCAGACATATTATTTTGTTTTCGAGAATTAGACCGATTTTTATTTTAAACTAGGCCAGGTCATAAAGTTTAACATCACATCCTCGAACTCCTGACAAAAGGTGAAACCTCCGTAAAAAGGAATATGAACTGTTGGGACTTTATAATAAAATAAAAGTAATTTTGAAATAACTTATGGTTCGGTAGATCAGAGGTCGTTATAAAGAAGT